CTTTCTCCTGAGCTCAGTTTTATTCTCCCACAGCTCACTTCCCTCAGTCCTTTATTCTCAAGCTGAGGTGTCTGCTGAGAAAAGCCGCTCCACGTCTCCCTGGTCTGCTGGGGGCGGGGTGCTAGCTTTGCATCTCCCTGGTCTGCTGGGGGGAAACAGCTAGTGCGGGGTTGCCTCACCCCGTTTGTAAGTAGGGATCCAATGTAAGGCGGATCCACATAACCCGGGGACTGCCTGTACTTAAAAAAATCCGGAAGTGTTAACAGATTACTTGGAACTCATATGAATAAAGAGACATGATTTGTGTCAATGCTGACATCAGAAATATCCAGACAAATGCCAACTGTGGCAAGAATACAGGTTGAACTGCTCTACCCTCAGGACCTGACCGGGTTTCAAACCAGATAATTTTCTGGACCACAGGAGGTCAATATTGTCTAGCAGCACTACCAACACTTCCACTGCTTACTGGACTCTGCTGCCACTCTTGTATATTTCAAAAGCAGAATTGCAGCAGAACCAGTGGGAGCGGAGATGGCTGCAGTCCCTGCTCATGCTGTTTCCTGCTGTGCCTCTATCTTCCCTGCTGTGGGGAGCTGGCTTTTAAGCCAGTTCCCCACAGCACCGGCTCCTGCTCCCCCCACTTGCTGCATCTTTTTGATAGAGGCAGCAAGGAGGGAGAAGCGACTAGTCACATCACTAGTCAACTGTCCAATAAACTTATGCTTACTGGATAGTCAACTAGTCATTTACATCCCTATTCTGGACTAGACAGGTTCAACCTGTATGAGGATGACAATAGCAAAGTGTGAAATGGGACATTTTTCTTATCACTCTAAATGAAATTTGTTCTTTCTGTTCACCAATTTTTTCCGTTAGTTATTTGGTTAACTAGGGTAGTAAGTTACCTAATAATTAGAGAAAGTAAGTGATGTTTCACATAGCATGCTGTTTGGTGAACCTCTGTAAAGCACACAGGTACTGTGATGAAAAACAAGGAAAAGATATTGATAGAGTCCTTAGAGATACAACTGGCATCTGAGGGACACAGCACACTTGAAACCCAGTAATTCCCTTCTACAAATCTGCCTATGAAACACACTGTCAATCTGATTTTCTGTCACTTTCCTAGTTATTCTTAAAAAAACAAAAAACAAAAAACAAAAAAAGCCATACTACTCTTCTATGAAATACTCATAGATATAGACAAACAGAAGGAAATGTTGACAGTGACCATACACAAACTACTGTCAAAACCACAATTTTAATAGAATAATTTTTCCTCTAATTTTTCATTTCTAAACTGTTGGTACAGTAAAAGCAAATTTAAAGGTCTGAATTTTTTTAAAATATTTTGTCTCTATCACTACTTTACTCCTGAGTTCTCAAATCCTACCTCCTGATGTTAAATTATCACTTCTTTAGTTTGTCCTATTCTTCAGCACTGGAAAAAAAAAAAAAAAAAAAGTATTGTAGAGAGCAAGCAGAAAACATTTCTACTGTCTGAACCCTATGTTCCAAACATTAAAAGCAACTTGCTATAAATGCAGCAAGTGTTTGTTTTCTATTACCCAGACAGGAAAAAAATCAAACTGCAGCTTGAGTGCTCTACAGATTTTGTTTGTGTTACATATTGAATACCCCAAGGATTTTATTATTACCTTACATCATTCCTGTAAGGAGCTGCGACTTTTGGAGAAGGGGGAAAAAAAGCACAAATACTGCCAATGTATCATTCAAAGGACTGTCTTCTCCTCCACATGCATATAGCTCCTTAATACTGAATGACAAATATACCTCCTACTGTTCATTAACTACTAATATATGAGATATGGGCCAGAAAGCAAAACTATGGTCCAAACTCCTCCTGAAGTCAGCATCTAAGTTTTGCTGCTCAAGCTCCTCTGTATAAACTAACATTTTTAGTTTGTTAACCTGCTTTTTTAGCTCACTGGTATTCTTCATGGAGCGTGAGGCCTATTTGTCATATTTTTCAATCTAAATTTATAAGTAAACATCAAACTCTGGACTTTACTTTCACAGTTAAGTTTCCTGTCCCTCTGAGGAATAATGTCCATGGACTCGCTTGTACACTTTCACTGTTTCTGTGGAAGGAGTGGGGAATAGTCCTATCTCCATTAAGCTGGAGGGCCCACCCTCTAAGCTGGCAGATCCCCAAAAACTTGCATGGATTTTAAAGATTTGGTTCCACATTAGTTCTGACCTATGGCATCCTTCATGCATCTCCACCCAACTGTGGCAGCAATGTAATCAAGGAATCCCTTAGGAGAGCTCTTCAGAAAAAAAAAGAATACAGCTTAAAGTCTTAGAACCATGGTGTCCATCCGATAGCGAACTAGCCACATTCAACTAGCCAAATAGCCACATGTGCAGGGGCAGATGACTGTTTTGCGGGGCCCCGGGCAGCGTAACTCCGCGGGGCCCCCCCTTTGCCACGGCGCATGCGTGGGGCTTTTTTAAGCGCGGGGCCTGGGGCGGCCGCCCCGTTCGCCCTGCCCTATATCCGCCCCTGCACACGTGGCTAGCATGTTGGACACCATTGTCTTAGAAGATGGGAGGGTATGTCTATCCCTTCTACCTTTCCCTCTGTGTAGACTGCAGCCTTCATAATAAAGCCTAGAAGAGTATTGTGGTAGCAGTTTATACTTCCACAGAGGAAGAGGGAAGCCTGCACATGGACTTCATAGAGATCAAAGCTCTCTGAAGCACTATAAAATATGCACTAACATTTTATATAGCTTTAGCAAATTACATTTGATCACAACACATTCTTTGTGAAAGTATCCTGCCCACTAAGCATCATCCACTCGTCCAATAAAAGAACCAACCTTTTGTATCTAAGTTTCATTCACACTAGATATGTAAAAAAACATTTCCAATGGTAAAAGTGCAAGAGTATTAGAAAATTTATTGTGGATTTCATCTTTTTTACGTAAATGACACTAATAAAACAAGGACTGGTTTGACTTCAAAGTTGTAACCTCTTTTCAGAGTATGTCAAGAAAATTCTCAATAAATTCTCTTTGTTTTTCATTTTGCAATTTAGACACCATTTGTTTTCCTATTATACACCTGATGTGTTTTTACTTCCTTCATTTCAACACTATTTTAGTAAAGATCATAAATAGGTTAATTTAGAAATATCAGATTTTTTTATCAGAGAATTATCTCCAATTTCAGAATCAGATTTTCTTTTAAGCCGTATTTTAATATCATATCAATTACTGAGACTTCTTGAATTTAATGAAATTAGCAATTCCTTCCAGTTTTAAAGTTACTGAAGAATGTAAACAAGTTATTTAAACATTTAACATTTTGATTG